TCTGGGCTGGGAAGATATGTGAGTCCTTCTCCCTTCTCCCCTCCTGGAAGTATGGGGGCTTTCTCCTTTCATGCTATGCTGGGTGGGCATTTCCTCCTCTGAGTCTCTCTTCACAGGACCACATTTCAAAGCCATACTTATGGTCTGTAAAAGGAAACTTTGGGAATTTAGAAAACTCTTCATTTTCCTCACAGTGGTCAGCCTTGAAGCCTTCTTTCTGGAAGATTGGCTCTGAGACTTGAGGCCAAAGGAGGGCACCTTTCTTTTTTCTTCCTTCCTTCCTTTCTTTCTTTTCTTTGTTACAGAGTTTCACTCTTGTTACCCAGGCTGGAGTGCAATGGCGCGATCTCGGCTCACCGCAACCTCCGCCTCCTGGGTTCAGGCAATTCTCCTGCCTCAGCCTCCTGAGTAGCTGGGATTACAGGCACGTGCCACCATGCCCAGCTAATTTTTTGTATTTTTAGTAGAGACGGGGTTTCACCATGTTGACCAGGATGGTCTTGATCTCTTGACCTCGTGATCCACCCGCCTCGGCCTCCCAAAGTGCTGAGATTATAGGCTTGAGCCACCGCGCCCGGCCCCTTTCTTTCTTTTGTTTTGTTTTGTTTTTTTTTTTTTTGACACAGTCTTGCTCTGCCATCAAGGCTGGAGTGCAATGGCACAATCTTGGCTCACTGCAACCTTCCCCTCTTGGGCTCAAGAGATTCTCCTGCCTCAAGTAGCTGGGATTAGAGCTGCATGCCACCATACCTGGATAATTTTTCATATTTTTAGTAAAGACAGGGTTTTACCTTGTTGGCCAGGCTGGTCTTGAACTCCTAACCTCAGGTGATCCGCCCGCCTCAGCCTCCCAAAGTGCTGGGATTACCGGCATGAGCCGCTGCACCTGGCCAAGAGGGCCCCTTTCTTTCTCTCATCTCCAGCTTTAACAGTCGGTGCCATTGGCTGAGGATGGGAGAAATGAATAGCAGGAAGGGGCCAAACATTAAAAGCACATTCACATATGCATTTCAGATCCTGTCACGTCACGTGAGGGAGGCCATCAAGTGCAGCTGGTGCTGAGGGAGTGTGATGGGGAGGCCTGGGCTTGGCCCTCAGCTCTGGGCTTCATCTCAAATCCCTCTGGGCCACCCCAGGTGCACAGAAGGGAAATCTCCGCACTGGCAGGGGCCTCAGGTCATGCTTCCTCGGGCAGGAAGGGAGCAGGTTGGCTAGGGCCCTGGGCCTTGCAGGTGTCATAGGTGTGCCCCTCAGCCTCCTGAACCCAGGGCAGGCAGAGCCCCGCAGTTGTCCCCCTTGGCAGCTGCCGGTGAGTTGGGTGTTTATAGGAAACCTATTGCCTTTCAGATGAGTCAGTGCCTTGTGGGGTGAGGAGGGTGAAATTTCAGACACTCCAGGCGGTAAAGTGGTGGGATGAAACTGCGAACACAGGTCTGGACTGGGCATCCTCTTGCCAGATCCGTGGTCAGCAGGAGGCCACTACTGGAGTCTAGAGAAAGGTATGTTTTCTATTCAGATCAACCAGCCAACAGAAATCATCTTTAGAGGGCCCTTTTCATATGTAAACCAGTTTTGTTTTGGTTTATGTTTTGAAAATGTATAAAAGTCTCATTTTTAAAAAATATGAACTAGAATATTTACATATTCTAGTTCAAATACAGTATATTTAAAACACGCATACATATTTACATATTTCCATTGCTTGGAAGCTTTATGAAAACAGGAATTAGAGGAAAAGGCAAACAGGGCTAAGTGGGAAGCGGGGAGATCCCTTAGAGGATGGAGAAGGCTGGGTGAGGAGAGGCAGAGGGGTTCTGGGAGAGGTTGGAGCAGGTGCCTCAGGAAGTCTTCAGACATGGTTCTATTTCTTAACTTATCTCAAAGCTCATGCTACCACTGCCTCCAAACAAAGTTAATTAGCTGATAATGTGAGTTTCCAGCTCTTCCACGGCTCTTTACCTTGAAATTCCAGAGGCTGTGTTCTGGGTGCTACATCTGCCCCAGCACTCGAGGGCCTGAGGTGGAATGTCCCAGGTTCTGGAACATGGACTTACCCCATTGGCTGAGGGACATGGAGTGGAAGGTGGATTGCACACTGGAGGTGGGGATCGGGCCTGTTTTGACTCTCACGGCTCTCTCTCTGGGACATGGTAGACTCTCACTCACGATTTGTGGGATGAATGAATGTCTTGGCTGGGTGGTGCCCTGCCCCTTGCTTAGAGCAAGGCTTGTCCTTTCTAGTTGCCCTAGAATGAGGGCAGGGATAAGGTGTCCCTTTTCTGCTTGATCCTGAGCATCCTGGACAGGAAATGATTCTTTCTCTCATGTCAACAGAGTAAATAATCACTTCCCCATGAGGCAAGAGTACAGGCCTGCCTGTGCCTTCCCGTGGCACTCAGCGCTGAACACCGAAGCATGTGTCACGCCTGCCTCACGCTACACATCTTGCCATCTGAACCACCACCTGCTCCAGGGCTTTTGCCTGGAATGGAAACTCAGCAGGTCATTGGTCCTGACACCTCCTCCACCCCTTTCAGTCAGCTGCCTCCTCTTCTCTGTGACATTGTCATGGAGTGCTGTTCTAAGCAAGGGTAAAGGGAAGGGAGTGACCACACCCTTCTTTCCTGGGGTTAAAGTAGATAGGGAGGTGCTGAGACCCAAGTGAAATGCCCAGGACTGGATCTACTCCTTCAGGCAAGGCTTGATCCAGGGACTGTCTGTGCTCCCTTTTGCCTGCATTTCCTCTGGAGGGAGACTGTACTGTGGCCTCTGGGCTCCATTCCCCGGGTGACCTGGGGGCAGTTCATCAACCAAGTCCTGCCTCCGTTTTCTCATTTGTAGAATGAAGATAAGAAAACTTCCCACCAGACAGGGTTTGTGGGATCTCCTTAGCCAGATCCTAAAAACATCCACAGCCACACTAATGCTGGCAGAAAGGCAGAAACAGGAAGGCAGTCGGCCTCACCAGCTGTGCATAAAATAACGATGTTCTCTACATAAAGTGCTTTGAACAGTGTGACACAAGGGCGTGTACTATGGAGCCTGAAGGTTATACAAGTTAACACAAAGTTAGGTACAAAAGTTAACATTCATTGTAAATGATAAAAAGAAATCACACAAAAATTCAAATTTTAAAAGGTTGATAAATTCTAAAATATCGCAAAATGTAAAAAAAATACCACGATGTGGGCTGGTCACAGTGGCTCACACCTGTAACCCCAGCACTTTGGAAGTCCGAGGTGGGTAGATCACTTGAGTTAGGAGTTCGAGACCAGCCTGGCCAACATGGTGAAACCCCACCTCTACTACAAATACAAAAATTACCCAGGCATGGGTGTTTTACTTGGTGGCCCAGGGCTCTAAGGGGGAGTGTTCTAGCCATTAAAAAAGAGAGCTACATCACCTTATGATCTAACCTCGGGAGTAGTCACTTTTCTCACATCCTGTAAGTTACCATACAATCACAAGCCCACCAGATTCAAGAGCAAGGGAGTTGTCCTCTACTTTTTGATGGGGGAGTGGCGAGGTGCTGGAAGAGCGTGGGCAGGAGATATCGGTGCAACCATTATCGGAAAACATCATCTGCCACAGCCCGTATCAAGCTCCTTTGGTGCATAAGCTGTTGTAGGTGTTGTGCTAGCCACTCGAGTACAGGAATCAGGATACATTCTATTAATATTTGTTAAAATCACCCTCTAAGGAAAACATGCATTCAAGGCATGATCGGAAACACCCTTTTCAGAAGAGAATTTCTATTTTCATCAGGGGTCAAGGAAAACTAAGTCTTCCACTTACAATGTTGTGTGTTGGATTGGAGGAATTTTTCAGATTGGTTTCTGGCTGTGGATATTTCAGACCTCGTTTCTCTTCCTCTACCCAATTCTTCCAGCACCAAAGGACACACCCACATCACAGTGCAACCTCTGGCCTTGTACCTTTGTGTCACAACATCAAATAAGTCAGCACACTCAACCACTACGTTCAATTTTTAATTAGATTTAATATCTGGTTCATGCAAATGACAGATATTTCCATCCAAATAATGTTCACTTGTTCATAGACCATTAGATTTCTATTTTGGCCAATTCTAAAATAATACATTTTAGATCCATTTGTAGTAACTTAACATCAACTCAGTTTCATTTGCTTTCAGAAACAAATCACCACTGTTCAACTGTATACAGAACTGACGGTAAAATGACTGAATTCATGTCACGTTAGGAGAGTGTTCAGTGCTGATGTGCACACTGAATGCTTTAAACAGTGAGGTGGCTTCAGAAAGTTTCCTTCTACAACTTGCATAACCCAAGAGTCTCCTGATTGGTCTCCTTTACCTTTATTACAAAGTCTAACTGAAATCTCCTAAATTCTTAGGGACAGCCACATGGAGGTGAGGGGCCTGTGATGGGGGGTGTCCAGACCCCTCTGCAGCTCCCGGAGTCTGCTCAGGTCAGATGAGGAGGACGCACTAGCCCAGGGCCTGCCACCACGACTGCTCTTGTTTCTTCATCCCCTGGACTCCCAGCTGCACAGAGCTGCCCAGGAAGGCTGGCCCCTTGCCTAGTCTCAGGTGCTCAGCCCTCCTCCCATGGAAGCTGGCCTGGCTCCAGTAGGGCTGGGGGTTCCCTCAGCTCTACCCCCACCCCATCCTCTGCCCTCAGCTTCGGGGGAACCAGCTTCCCGCTGCCACTCCTGGGACTCATCTAGCCTCCCCCTGGCTGCATCTTCTGTCCTGAAGCTCTAGGTCTGGAAGAGGTGCTTTACCTGCAGGTCCTGGAGCCCTGCCAGAGGTTTCTGGAGATGCTGGTTGACCCAGCCTCTTGGGTGCAGGGCTGAAGGAGGGACCTGGGGTGGAGCCCCAACCTGTTTATAGGACCATGGCTCCTCGGAGGCTGGCAGATTCACGCTGGTCCCATCCCACTGGGACAGTCACTGCCACCCAGCCGGAGAGCCAGCATCTTGGCAAGGGCTGGGCCTGGAGTGGAGCTGGAAGGGCTGGCATGGAGAGCCTGTCACCTGGGGGACAACCTGGCCACCCTCACCAGGTAACAGTGTCTGCAGAGCATGTGGGCACCAGTCAGGGTGGGCCTGGGGCCAGGGTGCACTCTGGCAAGTGTAACAGCTGGAATCAGGGTGATTTCAGTCTCTGCCCAGACTGGGCCAGAGGGCAAGGGAATCTGAGACTTGGGATGCAGAGCAGGTGGGGTGGGTGAGCAGCATCTATAGATGCAGGGGCCGGGAAACTTGAGTCTGGTCGGCAGAGCTTCCCCTCCCCACACCCAGTGACTGCAGCAGTGGCCTTAGGGACCTCCCCTGCCCCAACATTGAAGAACATAGTGGCTGCATGTGTCACAAAAGGAGACCCCCCAGGCCCACAGCCCCACCCCCACAGACCAGCAACTTCCCAGAACTGGCTGGAGCCCTGGGATCAGCCTGTATGTCTCCGGAGCTCTGGGGCGCCAAATCCCCATCCACTCCGAACTATTTACTAAGCCCAAGAGCTGTGGGGCTGCACCCAGGCCAAAGAGGCCTGCAAGCTGCTCACCCCCACCTCTGACATGACTTTCCCAAAGCTCAGAATTTTCATCCTCTGCCAGGGACCAAGGCCAGCAGGGCTGGCTCCTGAGGTCTCCCTGGTGCCCCAGGCAGTGGCCAGGAATGAGGCTAAGTGTGCCAAACTCACTGTCCTGAGGTCCTTTGCCTCATGTGCAGAACCCGCTGGGCTTCTAGAGCTGTGTCTCTGAGACCCAGGCCTGAGCTGGATCCTGGCAGGCAGCTCCAGTCTGGTGCTCCTGGAAGAGGCTTGGCCTGGGGCAGGGCAGACACTGCGGAGCCCTGGGGGAAGGTGGGAGGGACCCCTTGGTGAAGGACCACGGTGCTGCCCCAGCCTGAGGTCAGGAGGAGCCACCCACAAATCAGACTTCAGTGGACATTTGGACATTGGGGAGTCCATGGCTGCACGGCAGGGGAGGGGCTGGCAACCCTGGGTCCCCCACCCATCCCATCAGGAGCCCTGAACCCAGAACGGCCAGCTGTGGAGGTTTCTGAAATATACCAGCTTTAGACTCATCTCTCTGGCAAAGGGTGTTCCCCTTCCCCGTTTCCTCTCAGCCTGCTCCAGGTCTGGCTCCCAGGTAAAACCAAAGCCTAAGTGCCAGCGATTTGGGAGCCTGAGTCTGCCCCACACTTGGGAAGCACCTCATCCCCAGCCAGCATTCACAGGACTGGGTCCCCAGGACCAGGTCCTCAAGCTCCAGCCTTCAAGTCAGCACCTGTGGTGGCGAGCATCAGCAACGGCGTCTCCTAGCCGCGTTCCTGCTGAAACAGGGGCTTGGAACCTGCCCCAGAGTCGCAGCTGGGCTGGCAGGGCAGGCTGGCTGTTCGGGACTATTCTGGAATGTGCCTGCTGTGTGGTCCAGTCCAGGAGCCTCTGCCCAGCCTGAATGAGGGAGGTGCAGGGCCCGGGGCTGTGCCCAGGGGTTCCAGTCCTCTCTCTGACCTCCTGCACTGCCCTACCACAGGCACAAGTGCCAGCAGGGGACAGGGTCTGCTCATTCCCCCCTTTCTGCCGAACACCCAGGATCAGGCGCAACTGGACCCCAACTGGGGAGACCCAGCCCCGTTAAGCTCCCTTGGGCCACATCTCCCAAGATGGGCAGGGGGCAGCACTGGGCCTCTCAAAAAACTTCCTGACAAACATGTGCCCTGGGCCTCTCCACCCAGAGCAGAATGGCAGAGCCTCTGGGGTCCCTGCACAAGGCTCAGAGAATGGCTGAGATCCTCAACAGGGAGTCACTCCCGGGATCCTACAGGTGACTGGGCTGCCGAATGTCCTCCAGAAGCCTCCGGGTTAGTCATCAGTTAAGGTGGTATTTCAGGTGGGAGGATCTTTCAGAAGGGAAGGTGAAGTCCCTATGCCCTCAGGAGAAAAGATTCATATCAGTTAATATGTCAGTTAGCTCAGTAATCATATTAGTCAAATCTATGACAAATCTGTGAGTATCTGTTAGTCAAATTAGACAAATCTATGAAAATCTAGTGTCTAGCTATCTGTGGGGCAATGAGGGGGAGTTGCATGCTTTTCCACAGAAGCAAAGTCCTGGGAAGGTAGAATAGAGAGGGGTTATGAGCTCTGGCCTTGAAGTTTGAATTCCAACTCTGTCACTTCTAACTCTGTGACCTTGCACACGTTAGCCTCTCTGAGCCTCAATTTCCTCATCTATAAAATGGGAGGAAATGGAAGTACTGTCTTTTGAAGTGGTGGGAGGATAAATCAAGTGACAATCGGTAATATGCTTAGTACAGTATTGTCACCCTACAGAATGACACTAAATTATCTCTATGTTGTATTTCCTCTGGAATAAGAAATGACTGTAGCCCGGAATGCGTGGAATGACAGGCTATCAGTGCCACAGTAAGGGAAGGGGAAAGGGACACTTTTACTGGAAAAAAGGGGAGAGGCTCACAGAAACTGCTTGGAAACAGAGTTCCTTGGTTCCAGAGGCTGAGAGCCAGAGCTGTCAGTTCCTTGTGGCGATGCTGTTACTGGGCACGTGTGTTTTTTAGGGTATCTTATCTGGGTTACTGCCATCCTGAAGGATGTCTAGTGATAAACCTTCTCCAAGTAGCAGATGCATGAAGTAAGTGAAGGCGTTTTCTGTGGGGTTTGTAGGAAGTCCTTGGAAACAGCTCTTATCTCAGGTGTGTAAACATGAGCTCTGCTCTTTCATGCGTTCCCAGCCCTGTTTCTTTGGGGTCTGACAAAAGCGATTTCGTCTTGGTGTCTGCAGCATTCACAGTGCCTGGAACCATGACAAATACTTAAGAAACAGTGATAGTGATAGCAGTTATCTAGAAACTGCTTACTTTATTCCTAAGCAGTGTGCAAGTATTAACATTTTAAGCCTTAGAGTACCATGTGAGGTCAAAACTATTATTATTTCCACTACACATGAGGAAACAAACAGAGGCACAGAGAAGATTAGTGACTTGTCCAGGGTCACACAGCAAGTAAGTGGCAGAGCCATGGTTTAAATCCAGACAATCTGGCTCCAGAGTCTGCCTTTAAGCCCTGGTAAAGACCAGTCATAGTAATCATTGTCACAATAATACCACGTTCTGGGCACTCCATGTTAGCGCTGATCTTAGAGGTGAAGAGAATTGGGATTTCACTCTAGGAAAAATAACCTGCCAGGGAAGCAGCCCACACGCTTAGGACCTGTGGAGTGTTGGCCTGGCCCAGGGAGCAGGGGAGTGAGGCCGGGCTGCCCCTGCCCTTCCCCTATCTTATCTTGGAGTGGGACATTGAAACTCAACACCCCACAGGGCCCCAGCATCCCAGCCGTCACCTCCCTGTGGCCAGCAGTGGTGGAATCGGAGCGAGGGGAGGGAATGGAGCCAGATGTCTCAAAGTTCATGAAATCTGTGCTGCTGACAACCCCTATAAGGCTTAAGGTTTATAGATTTGGCATGTTGCTGATGGCACTGGGGCTAATCCCCAAGAAGAGACAAACAAGTCTACCTTGCTTGGGGAGGTGACGTGTGCTCTGTTTGGAAGTGGCCTGGAATGACAGGGATGTTGACATGGAACCACAGAAAGGAAAGATGCAAGGGCAGGGCCACCAGGTATGTGGCTTTGCTGTGGCCCATGGTCCTTTAGAGTTTTCGGTGGGGAGTGGAGAGTCAGGTGGGTGATGAGCCAGCCCCTAGCAAGCAGCATCTGTGCAGAGTGGAGATGAGTCCTCATGGGCACCGAGAACTTCCAGCCACATGCATGGGTGTGGATCTGGTCATGGGAGGGTGCAAAGCAGGAAACAGCTCTGGTTTCGCCACAATCATCTCCCAGCTATGTGATGCTGAAGGTTCCCTTTGCTAACACTGCACTGCCTTCTGGCTCCCTCAGGGAATGGGGGATGAAGGGGCCATACGAGTCCGAGAAGATCGTACTTAGTGGGGAGTCTAACCTGGTGGCAGAGCCGCTGAATGGCAGAAGCCCCAGCATGGGTTTTTTCTGGAATGGACATGGTCTGTGGGTTCTTCACCAGGGCTGCCACACTGCGTGCTCCGGGGGTTAGCATTTCATAGGCCTTCATGTGCCAGGTGCCCCATGGGGGTCCTGCCACCCTGTGACTCTGCTGGGTCCCCTCCTGGCTGGGGGCTCCTACTGCCCCATTACCCAGCACAGGCAGTGCTCCTTCCTGATAGCCCTGTTCTAACGGCCCTTTGGGCATGGGCTCTTTCTGCTGGGTCCACGTGTCCCGTAGGTGGTCCTCCTGGGCAGGCTCCCTTCCAAGAGGATGCAAGGCCAACAACCTTCCTTGGGGCCAGACCACAGGAAAAAATGCTATTTGCCCTGCCAGACCCATTTGAGTAACCTCACTTTAAAGAGGCTTATAAGAAACTAGTGCCAGGTGCCTAAAAAAGGCCAAGCAGCAGGGCCCAGGAAGAACAGAAACCCCAGGACCCTCCTGATCCTGGCAGTGCTAGGGACCTCAGCAGTGGGGCGTGGGGACCCCTCCAGTGCCCTGTCCCAGCAGGACTCAGCCGCGCCCCACCGACAGCCTGCTTTCCCTCCTGCCACCTACTCTCAGCTCATCTCCTCTAGCTTCTGCCCACTCAGCAGCTTCTCCCTCTTACCTGGGCTGTCTGTGGCTGATGTGGCCTCATCAGCATCTTAATACAGTGGCCTTTCACCCACAGCACCCACTGCTCCCGGTGATGGCCCAATGCTCTCGGAGTTTCCTCATTCATATCCCATACGGTGCAGACGGCTGAGATCCAGGGTAGCGCCTGTGGACTGGGCTGCCGAGGCTCGGCCTCCCTTAAGTCATGTGCCTGCTTTCTGTCCAGAAGGGCTGGGGTGGGGTGCTGGCAGCAGGGTCACCAAAGGTAGCCCTTGCTTTGCCAAGAGGCTGCAGGCTGCCCTCCCTGCGAGCTCTGGGAATGGCTGATATCTAACTGACCCATGTGGCGGCCACTCCTTGGCCCTCAGTTCCTTGCTCTGTCCACTACCATGTGTTAGCCTGTTCCCGAAGGGGAAGGAGTCCCACAAATTCCACCCCTGGGTGGTCTACTATTCCCTGACTGCTGCAGCCCAGAACCATGACCCCAAAGACAGAGGTGAACAAAGGCCGATTGGTCCCCAGAGGGTGTCCTGGAACGCCTGGCAGCAGCGTCAGCGCCACCAAGTACCAGGAGGGTGGTGAGGGGTGTGGGCAGCCCGGGTTGCAGCACAGCGACTCCAGGCTTGGTGGGGGGAATGCGGGAGGGACTCTGGAGTTTGATTTTCTCCTCAGGGGGAGGCCTCTGCCTGCTGGCAGCTCACCGTGAGGGTCCTGGAGGCGCGGAACCTGCGCCGGGCCGACCTGCGTGAGTAACCGCCCTGTGCATTCTGGTGGGAGCAGGGAGACCATATGCCCTGGGAAGGGCCCAGATGAGCACCCTGGGGTGGGGCTGGGCTGGGCTTGGCTGCCCGTGGTGACCACCAGGGCCTTGGTAGGAAACTGTCATGGCCTGTGGAGAGGGTGTGAGGACTGCCCCCTCACAAAGGCTTCCTTAACCTTGGCAGTGAGTGAGGCTGACCCTTACGTGACCCTACAGCTGTCCACCGCACCTGGAATGCAGTTTAAGACCAAGACGCTCACAGACTCCAGTCATCCTGTGTGGAATGAGGCCTTCAGCTTCCTTATCCAAAGTCAGGTCAAGGTGAAGGCCGGGGGACTTCGGGCCACTCCCCTGTGAACAGGCCGAACCTCCATGCGAGGGTTCCTGGGGTGGAGAAGCTCTCAGAAGGGGTCTCTGTGCCCGGCCTGTCTGTGCTGTGTGCAAGGGAATGCATGAAGGAATGAACATGGTCCTCCCACCAGCTGGCTGTGGGGCCGACTCCCACAGCTGGTTCCTCTCTAAGCCCAGCTATGAGGCAGAGACAGTAAGAGCCCCTCCTGAGTAGGTCGCTGCGGTGGGGAGATGAGGCCATGTGTGGGAGCTTGTGGAAGGTCACCAGCACATACCATAGGGTGCACCTTAGGGAGCCAGAAAAGCCATGGACAGAGACGGAGATGGAGACAGAGACAGAGAGGAAGACAGAATTCTTTGACAGAAATTTATGTTTGATAAAAACATTAGAAAGAGGAAATTAGGAATTTTAGAAGATTTCCTTCTATTTAAGTTTTACAGTTCTGCCGGGCGTGGTGGCTCACGCCTGTAATCCCAGCACTTTGGGAGGCCGAGGCGGGTGGATCACGAGGTCAAGAGATCGAGACCAACCTGGTCAACATGGTGAAACCCCGTCTCTACTAAAAATACAAAAAATTAGCTGGGCATGGTGGTGCGTGCCTATAATCCCAGCTACTCAGGAGGCTGAGGCAGAAGAATTGCCTGAACCCAGGAGGCCGAGGTTGCGGTGAGCCGAGATTGCGCCATTGCACTCCAGCCTGGGTAACAAGAGCGAAACTCCGTCTCAAAAAAAAAAAAAAAAGTTTTACAGTTCTTTTTATTTTGAAACAGAAAAGTGTGGGGCATAATGATCATCTCTGGCTCTAGACATCAAGTAGGGGCTCAAGCCCTTACTTGAGCAGGTAAAAGGCTAAGTCGCTGTTCCTGGTTTCTAGAATGTTCTGGAGCTTATCATCTATGATGAAGACTCAGTCACAGAGGATGACATCTGCTTCAAGGTTCTCTACGACATCTCAGAAGTCCTCCCTGGCAAGCTGCTCCGGAAAACCTTCTCCCAGAGTCCCCAGGTGGGTGAGGAAGTCCCCGGGGGCCCCACCTCTTCCGACTCCAGGCTGAGGAAGTTGCTGTTCCTCCCACCTGTGGGGAGGCTGCTGGGGTGAACTCATTCACCGAAAACTCTAAACCCATTCCAGAGATATTTACATTTTAATAAGCAAGGAGAAGGCTTAACTTGACGGTTATAGACTGAATCACCCAATGGAGGGATTTGAGCCACCTGTGGCAGGAAGGATTTGGGAGGTGGAGAACTTCCTGACATCCATCAAAACAGCTCAGCCTCCATCACTCCTGTCGGGGGCACCAAGGCCTGCTTTGTGAAGGCCTCAGCTCCCTTCCTGCTGCAGCCTGGAGTGGGGAACGGCAGTTCTGGGGTCTGGGCCCTCCTCAAGAAGAGCAAATGGGTCCTGCAGGCCATGCCTCCTTTGGCTGTGCTCTTTGTCTTCCCCTCAGTCTTGCCCAGAGTTTTGGGACCTCCAAGGGAGGGAGACCCATTCTCTGCAGACTTACTAGCCACGGGTAATGTGGGTAGGCAGCCCATCTGGCCCCATACCTCAGCTTCCTCATCCGTAAATTGGAAATAATTGTACTAACGTGCCTCCCTCAGAGACTGCTTGAGAGGATGAGATGATGCCTGTAAAGGCGCTGTGTCCACTCTGAAGACATAGGCAAGTGCTGTGACTGGCTCATCCTCTCTCATTGCAGGGAGAGGAGGAGCTGGACGTGGAGTTCCTGATGGAAGAAGCGTGAGTAACGTCTCACAGCCCAGGGAGTGTCTCAGGACTGAGGCTCTATCTGAGGAAATGGCCCTGACCTCGATCTCCCTGTGGTCAGTCCAGCCTGACTGCTCCTCATCTCCTAACCCTGCCAGGGAGGTCCGGTCTTGGGCGGGGCTTCTCATATCACACCACTTACTTCCTTCACCATGCTTACCAATATCAGTTCATTACCCATGTCTTTGTAAATTTATATATGCTTTCAGGGAGAACAATCTCTTCGTGCTACATAAATATTAGCTCTTATAATTTATAGGTATTAAAATTATGATACTTATCAATATTATAATGAAAAATTTATCAATGTTATAAATGAAAAAATGTGGAGAGGAAGGCCGATGTTTTCTCTCCCTGCTCTCTCCCCTCCCCTCTCCCCCTGCAGAAGCATCTCCCCTTCCCCCTGAACCTTATCCTGAACTTATAGAGCCCTCAGCATCAACCAAGGAAGCCCCACACGGGCGGGAGGGGGAGGTCAATACAAGAAGCGTTTGCCTTTGCAAGGTTTGATTTTTCTAGGTCAAATCGCCCAGAAAACCTCATCACCAACAAAGTCCTTGTGGTAAGTGCCTTCCCAGGGTGAGGGAAGGGGCCCCAGAGCAGACGTGGCGGGGAGGACAGCTGCCTGGGGCGTGGACCAGCAGGGACAAGGCAGGGGCAGGGCTTCGTGGTAAAACCACCGCTGGCCTCCCAGCCAGGTGGTCACCTGGGGCTGTGGGTCTTGGAGAGGCCTGGAGCTAAGGATGCGTGGAGAGAGGGGAGGCAGGGCTCTGCGGAGAGGAGGTTCCAGCCCGCTGCTCTTTGGGGTGCTTCCCCAAGGTGTTTGGTCACCGGCGGTGAACTCACAGCTCTAGGGATTGACTGAGTGCTTCCCTGGGAAGGGGTGAAGAAATCAGGCAGGCCAGGCCCACCTTCCGGTTGTTAATGTTGAGGTGACTGAGGCCCAGAGGGCGCTCCCAGCGCGGTTACTTCCAACCTGGGAGACCATAGGTTCAGCGGCCCAGTCAGCTCCTCCTCGGGACGGGGGACAGTCCCCGTCAGCGCTCCTGACCATGGGCTCACGAAGCTGCAGTGGCCAGAAGTGGTCACGAGGTGGCGAGCAGGCGATGCGCTAGTTACACGCTTTTGTCACGGTGTGACGCCGGATCAGCAGCACAGACCTGGGAGCAGGTGGGCCCAGGGTCACGTGCGAATGCACCTAGAGCCAGCAGTTAAGGAGGCGCTCACTCCCAGGGCTGTCTGATGGGCTAGTATTACTTTTAAAAATATGCATGAAAATATGGTATCACATGACACTGGTTAAAAAATAAAGTCACACCAATGGCACTGCCTCGTATGAGGTGACGGAGACCTGCAGGGGGTGGGCATATTTAGTGATTGTGTGGCGCGTGGGTGGCGGGCATCTTGGCAAGTATCCCTCAGTTAGGCCACAGAGGACACCCAGGAGATGTTCTGAGTGTTTCTCGGACATGCAGTCCAACCTCCTGTGGATGGGCGGCTTGCTTAGATTATTTGGAGTTGTGGTAGAATACCTCTTCCAACTCCAGCCACAGGGAAACAGGAGAAGAAGGAGCTGTGTCCGAGGGCTGGGCGCTCTGGGAGGTTTCAGAAGTTTGGCAAAGCCAGGAGAGCTTGCAGGGAGGTGTGGAGCCCTGGCCCTCCTGGCTCAAGAACTTGAGGCTCAGCAGCGGCAGAGGATCGGTGATGGGGTGAAGGGACCCTGCAGCCAGTCCCATCCTGAGCCCACACCACTCCTTGTTGTGTGTATGGCGGATTTGGGACACTGGGGCTCAGAGAGTTGAGGATGAGGTGACCTCAGCTTACCCTGCAGAGGCCCCTGCCCATGACGTGGTCTCCCCCTAGGCCCGAGAGCTGTGCAGCCTGGATGTGCACCTGGACAGCTCAGAGAGCACCGCTGTGGTTGCAGGTGAGACCGGCTTGGAACCAGGCCTGGACTCTGTCTGGACGTGGGAGTGAGGAGGATTGCTGGGAAGCCTGCACAGGGTGGGAGGCAGCAGCAGGATAGAGTTTGCCTCTCCCTTCCTACCCATATGGCACAGAGGGCCACATGTCTCCTCTAGGCAGGAAGGTCGGTCCCCTGACCTGGGGGAGAGCATGTTGCACAAGGCAAGGGTCCGGGGTGGGGGGGCTTGTGAGGCCCCATGGGCTGGGAAAGACCCTTTTCATACTGCCATTGATGATGGCCCAGCCTCCTGGGCATGGTCTGAGTCCCGGTGGTGGTGTCACTTTCCCAAGTCTGAGCTGGGGGTTCGGGCTCTTGTCATGCTAACCCGCCCTCTCTCTCCCTAGATCAGGACAAACTGGAGCTGGAGCTGGTGCTGAAGGGGTCCTATGAGGACACCCAGACATCTTCCCTGGGCACAGCCTCTGCCTTCCGCTTCCACTACATGGCAGCCCTAGAGACAGAGCTGAGTGGGCGCCTGAGGGTGGGTCTTGGCTCTCTCTAAAATCCCAGGCTGGGCAGCTCCAGCTGCAGTGGGCCCCTCCCTGCCTTCCCTGCCCGCCAGAGCCAAGGTCCCTGTGGCCTTGTCAGCCTCCGCTAATTAAGCACCTCACCGTTGGCAGACACAGAAGACCATCAGGTGTTAGGTGGGCATGGGACTGCTGCGCCATGTCAGTCTTTGAATCCTCCAGCGGCCCCTCCAGTGATACCCTTAGAATAAAATGTGATGTCTGTGCCCACAAGGCCCGGCACAGCCTGGCACCCACCGACCTCTGCCACCTCATTTTGTTTCACACAACCCCCATGCACAACGTGCCAGCCATCCTTGTCTCCTCTCTCACTTCCAACATGCCAAATGCTCTCCTGTACCCCACTGGCTCCTTCTAAGGCTGCCTTTTCCTCCTCCCCTCCTCCTCTCCTCCTCCTCTCCTCCCCCTCTCCTCCTCCCCCTCTCCTCCTCCCCCTCTCCTCTCCTCCTCTCCTCTCCTCCCCTCTTCTTTGTCTCCTCCTCCTCCTCTCTTCCTCCTCCTCTCCTTCTCCTCCCCTCCTCCCCTCCCCCTCCACCCCTCCTCCCCTCCTCTCTTCCTCCTCCCCCTCTCCTCCTCTTCCTCCTCTCCCTCCCCTCTCCTCCTCCTCCTCCCCCTCTCCTCACCCCACCTTCTCTTCCTCCGCTCCT